TGATTGATGATGAGAGTATGCTGATGTGGCATTGGACTAAGGTGGCACTGCATTGCGTTGTGGGTGGTACCGAGGTCATGACCGGTCATCAAATGCAACATCGGCTCAATTGGTGAGAAATCTGTGGTTGGGGGCAGCTATCTCCAGGTACGTTGTTCCCTTACCTTATCTCTTCTTACCGTGAGGAAGTGAGTCCAACTTGAGAGTCCTCTCTTTTGGTGAGGTGTCGTGAGCGCACTACCTTGAGAGACGACAATCTTCCCGGAAGCATACTGGAAGGAGAAAGGGCGGTGCCTCTGAAGGGCCCAGGTCGGGTCACGGTCACCATGCCAACCCACAGGGAGTAGTGCACGCATGCGATGGCTGCTGTCCTGTTTGGCACTTGCTGCGCTGATAGAAGTTCCTCCGGGTGTGCCAGCCCATGACAGACGCTTACCAGACCGTCTATAAACATTTCTGGTTGGGAGTTCATTGTGATTCTGGTTGTGATCGTCGTCCTGACTGCTACGTTAAATAATTCCTGAAGAGATGGGGGCGCTCTATAAATCCCTCCTGATCAGCCAGATCAAATGGACAGGAAGGCTCGTCGCCATACGAGGGTAAATAAGAGTGGTTGGGCTGGCTTGCTCGGTGACAACTTGGGCACAGGGGTGGGCCGATTCACACACGAAGACATTGCTCGCTCAATGATGCTTTTCGGTATGTTGGATGGAGGGGAGGGTAGGTTCTAATTGGTGCTCAACTATATGCACAACCATACCCATCAATCATACATCTGCTACATTGTCTTTTTGTACCTTTGATTAGTTGGTGGACAGACTGCTAACACCTCACAGACAGATTAGTGTAGGACTGTTGTATGCTACCATAGCCAGTTCTAACTAATGCTGCTGTAAGTGAACAAGTCAAAGTGCATTTAGACTATGTAGACAAACTGTGTGAATGTTGTAGACATGCCACTTGATCGGTACAGTAGGGGAACTGCCGGACACAACCATTATTGGAAAATTAGGTGCCGGTCAGACACATGCTGTGGTAGGATTCCATTAGGGAGTTCTAGTGCAGACAATGTTTGCCTAATTCATGAACGGGTCAGACGTCGACGAGGAGGGAGTTGGCGATAGTAGACTTACTCGTGCAAGATCAAGAAGGATCCCGTACGTGTTCATGACTCTAGACGAGGGAGAAGAAAGACGGCTTCGTGCCGAACGTAGAGCCTGTGCTCTCGCAGCATCAAGAGAAGCAGCAAACCTTGCAACTAGGGAGCAGGCTGCCGCAGCAGCCACGACAACAGCAATGGCTACCGCAGCAGCAACCTCTGCTGCAACTACGGTTGCGTCCTCGTCAGGAACCCAGTTGGGAATGCCAACGGGGTCCCCGGGTATCTCCACTTCACTAGGGTCTAGGCCGTCTACAAGTCAAGGCCAGGATTCCGGCCACCAGCACAATCGCCGTTGTCGTTAACAGCGATGTCAGGTCCCTTTCACGTACAAGCTGACACACATCCAAGTGGTACGTCTGCAGCAGTCTCGCAGACTGTAGCGTCTTCTTCTTTGGGTCCAGTGGTGAATGCTACATCACCACAACAACCTGTTCAACAATCTGGACAGCAGCAAGGTCAATGGTACCCCAAGACCCCAATGAAACCGCCTCTTGCCTTCTCAGGCGAGAGAAAGGACGAGGAACTCAACACATGGTTGAGGACGGTCCCGGTTTGGGTGAAGGCCAAAAGGACCTTGCCAGAGGATGAGGTGGTAACTGCGGCATCTTACCTAGAGGGTAAAGCAGCCAAGTGGCTAGATGGTGTAGTTGTGAAGGCCGGGTACGGCCGACGCATGGTGGATTGGGCTAAGTCTTTGACCTTAGACCAATTCATGGAGATGGTAGAAGCTCGATGGCATAACCCACAGGAGGCTCAAAGGGCCACTGATGCCATTAACAAACTTGACCAACGCAAGTTCAGGTCAGTTAGGGAGCTTACGACTACCATGGAGGGCCTGATGCTCGTCCCGGGCATCAACTACAGTGACCAGTTCCTGTTAACAACTTTTGTTAGATGTCTTCCAGAGAACATCAGGAACTTACTGGCCAGTGAGGCACGCACCGAGTACCACTCGTTTGAGACATTGTCTAGAAAGGCCTTAGACTTAGAGGCAACACTAGGCAATGCTCAACCCACCTCAGGGAACGACTCAAAGAAGAAGAAGAGTCCCCAGGAGTGGAAGAARAAGGGGGCGAAGTTGATGATGGTTGAGTCAGATGGGACCCAAACTGAAATCGACGAGCTCTCTGACTTGGTGGACTATTCAGAGTGTGACGACGAGGGGGTAGCTGAGGGTAGCACCCTCGCCGCGGTAGTAAAGACTAAGGCAGGTGGCCGAGGGAAGGGCCAACCTAGGAGTCAAGGGAAGGCCGCCTCCAATCAGTCCAAACAGACTGAGTGGGTCAAGGCAGGTCTTGACCAGGACGTGTGGCGTGACCGCCGATCGCGTGGCGCTTGTATCAACTGCGGTGAATACGGACACACGCAGTGGAAGTGCCCGAACGCTAAGGTTACGCAAAAGGTTGCACCAAAGGTTGGGGCAACTATTTCCCAGGCTTCTGGCTCGGGAAACGCGTAGGGCCAATGAAATTGATAGCGGCTTCTACTCAAGATGAAGTGGGAATGATACCCTCCTCACTTCATGACAAGGCCGAAGCTAATGACTCCTTAGCTGCCCCGCAGACGCATCTAGACCAAACAATGCTCTGCACGTTAGATGTGTCTGAGGCCTTAGAAGACTTAGAAGGTGAGTGGTCAAACAAGGACCCTCGTGAGTCTTGGGCGGCGCTAAAGAAGGGTCCTAGAGGGGAACATTTCGTTGTCGAAGTGGATGTAGGAGGCCGCAAATGTGGAGCCTTCATAGACACAAGCTCCACGCGAAATTACATAAGTCGCGATTGTTTGGAAAGGCTGCGCCTACAGGACCGGGTACGGCACCTTAGTAGACCAGTAGCATCTACTTTGGCCAACAAAGAGCGCATGATTGTCACAGACTACCTCAAGGACGTAGTCTGTACCTTCTCCTATGGAGGAGGTGAGCTTAACCATAAGATCTCGTTCTTGGTTAGTAACGACTTGCCATTTGACATGTTGCTAGGCATGTACTACCTCGATATTGCTAAGCCCCAGTTTGATTGGGATAAGAAGGTGCTCAAACAGAAGTTGCCCGATGGCCGAACTGTCAGAATGACTAAGTTCAGGGCCAGTAGTATTATAGATACCTATGGCTGCTTGTGCACATCTGCGTTCTACAATTACTATAAGCAAAACCAAGAGGAAGGTATGTACCTTGTTTATGTCTTTGAGAAGGGGGAGGCCGTTAAAACACCCCCGGAGATAGAACGCGTCGTTGCTAAGTTCCCTGATCTGTTCGAGGAGCACACAGGAGTTGTTGATAGGGAAGTCGTCCACACTATAGAAATCATTCTCGGGAGTAAGACCCCAAAGGGAAGGATCTATAGGATGGCCCCTGCCGAGTTAGATGAACTCCGGAAGCAACTCAAGGAGCTGACAGAGAAGGGATGGATTCGGCCTAGTACTTCCCCGTACGGATCACCTGCTATTCGTACCAAAGAAGGGGGGTACTTTGAGGATGTGCATTGATTAGAGGGGCCTCAATGCCATCACGGTGAAAAACGCAGAGCCTCTACCCCGCATAGACGACCTATTGGATAAAGTGCAGGGATGCAAGTACTATACGAAGATAGACTTGAAATCCGGATATCATCAGATCGCAATAAGACCTGAGGACCTACACAAGACAACTTTTCAGACTAGATATGGTCTGTATGAGTTTGTAGTGATGCCTTTCGGTCTTTGCAATGCGCCGGGTACATTCCAGCACGCTATGAATCAGATCTTTTATGACCATTTAGATAAGTTTGTCGTAGTCTATCTAGACGACATTCTAATCTTTAGTAAGTCTGCCGAGGAGCACGCACAACGTGTTGAGACAGTTCTCTCACTCCTACGACAACACAAGTATAAGATCAACCTAGAGAAATGAGAATTCGGTCGCACTAAGATTCTATTCTTGGGTCATGAAGTATCCGCGGAGGGAATTAGGCCGGAAGATGCGAAAGTGGCTAGTATTCGAGACTGGCCACGACCTTAGACAGTTACGGAGGTCAGATGTTTCTTAGGAATGTGCGGCTACTATAGGAACTTCGTAAAGAACTATTCTACAGTCGCCTCTCCTTTGACAGATCTAACTCGACTTGACACACCGTGGGACTGGAGTGATGAGTGTGAGGGTGCTTTCAAGAGATTGAAGCGTGCACTCATGAATCACAAAGTTCTCATGGTTCCCGATCCGCAGAAGCCATTCATAGTGACCACTGACGCAAGCCAATACGGCATTGGCGCAGTGCTGGCTCAGTAGGATGGGAAAAAGTTGAGACCGATTGAGTATATTAGTAAGAAGATGCCATCGAAGAAATTGGCTAAGTCCACCTACGAAAGGGAACTCTACGCTCTCTACAAGACACTTGTCCATTGGAGACACTTCCTTTTGGGAAGATTCTTCTATCTGAGGACTGATCATCAGACCCTCAAATGGATCAAGACTCAACCGGCTGTTTCTGATGCACTCAAGCGATGGATTGAGGTCATAGACCAATATGACTTCAAGCTTGAGTACCTGAAAGGAGAGTACAACAAGGTTGCAGACGCGCTATCCCGTAGAGCAGACTACCTAGGTGCGCTAGTTTTCGAATTTGGCGTATCTAACGAAGTAACTCAATCATTGGTGGAAGCCTGTCAGGAAGACCCTGTCACGATGGACATCATCCGCAAACTTCAGGCAAAAGACAAGGCCACAGAAAGTGAGTTTGTGATGGTGGATGGGCTAATCTATCTTGATAAGGACGGATTAAAGAGATTGGTAGTTCCATCTAGTGAACAGTTGTGTAGTTTATTTTTAGGCGAATGTCATGACACAACTGGGCACTTTGGCTACAAGAAGACGAGTGCTAACTTAGTACAACGATTTTGATGGCCCAGAATGCTAGAGGACGCAAAGAAGTATGTTGAGACCTGTCAGGTCTGTCAGCGGGACAAGCCGCGAACTCAAGCACCGCTTGGGTTATTGAAGCCTTTACCCATTCCTGATGGTCCAGGATTAAGTGTTTCCATGGATTTCATGGACACCCTTGTGACCAGCAAGAGTGGTAAGAGGCACATTTYCGTCGTCATTGATAGATTCACCAAGTACGCTAGACTAATACCAATGCCAGAGACAGCTATGACGGAGTATGTCATCAAGTTGTTCAAGGGCAACTGGGTAAGGGACTTTGGTTTACCMAAGACCATCATTAGTGACCGAGACGTCCGCTTCACAAGTGAACTGTGGAAGAAGACTGCAGAACAGATGGGCATTCAACTTCAAATGACTTCAGGGAATCATCCCGAAGCCAATGGACAAGTCGAACAAATGAACAGAGTGGTACAGCACTTGCTGCGGCATTACATCAAGCCCAGCCAAGATGATTGGGGTGAGCAGTTGCCTCTCATCGCCAGCTTGTACAGCAATGCTATGCATAGTAGTACCGACGTTAGTCCTAACCAGTTGCACTTGGGATGGAAGCCTAGGTCAGCACTAGACTTTCTCCTACCTGAAAACCGACCTGCTGCAACTCCAGGCACACTTGAATACGGTGTGCAATATGAGAAGTTGCTGCGCGAGGCTGTTGAACATATGAAGAAAGCTCAGCAAGCCATGATTGCTTTCGAGAATCAACATCGCGGACAGTCCACATTTCAGGTGGGGGAACGTGTCTGGGTCAAGGCTAGTGAGTTAGGACAGGAGTTCGGAATATCTCGTAAACTAATGCCTCAATTCTTTGGTCCCTGGGAAGTCTTTGATGTAGTGGGAAATGCAATGGATGGTCCTACGTACGTCATTCGTGTCCCTGGTCATCTACGCACTCACCCAGTTTTTCATGCCTCAAAGCTTGCACCTTTCGCTGAGACAGATCAATTCCCTTCTAGAAGATCGATGCTGCCCCCAACCATGGATGGTCAAGTTGACATCGACGACATTGTGGATCACAGGGATATGCCTGTTCCAAAGCCGCTGGGCCGAGGAAGACCTCCCAAGCCCAAAAGAGATTACCGCGTCAGATTCAGGCATCACACGGATCCAAAAGAAGATCGTTGGTTTACTAGGGAGCAACTGATTGACACAGCTCCTCAGGTGGTGGCAGACTATGAGAAGAAACTGAAAGGGAAGGCGCCTGCGAAGTAAGCATCTCAGCGGACTTTCGAAGCTAAGGGGGATGGAATGTGAGGATTGAGCCCTCAAGTAGGGGCCTTGCCATGATGTACATGTTCTGGGCTAAGGCCCCAGCAAGCCTAGTGCCCGCCCTGAAGGCGGGCCAGCAAATCGACAAGAGCCCTCTGTGCAACATTTCACGAAGTGGGGTTCATACAGTTGCAGCACGCCAGTTGGTTGGAGTG